GCACGATAAGTCATTGTAGGATTTCAATTACTCCTTTCTCCACATCTCGCCGATTACTCTAATTAGTTTTGAGAAGTTCCTCTCTGTCCCTCTTCATATAGGATGCACTCAGAGCAGCCTCCTGTTCTCCAATATATATATATATTTATATATTTATATATATATAATATATATATATATATATAACTATATTTTTAATGGTTTCTCATAGAATTATCCAAGTAAAATCTGTAAAATACAATATACTGCCTATCATAAATTCTTAATTTTTCTTTCTTTTATAAATAATTATAGTAATAGTCTTCACACCATTTGTTAATTTATTATACTCAAAGATGCCATCCTTTTTTGGATTAAATTTAAATATTACATTTGTGCCCTTTGCGCACTAATCCACTTCTATAGTATTCTGCATGACTGTGAGTGTGTGTGTTCTGTGTGTGTATATATATAATACATGTAATATATAATCTAAAGGACTTACGGTATTTACATATGTACACGTTAACAATAATGCATCGTCCAAGCCACATGCGATAATTTTTACTCCCTTCTCGTTGCTATTGAAGACTGATTTCTTTTCCTTCCCCGCAACGGGGCATGCGACTACTATAGTAGCCTACTCTTCTCACTTTTAAAAATCGCTCTCGGAAGTAACTCCGCTCGAAATGACTCCGTCTGACGATTTAGCAACGAATAATGGTGAAAAAGTTCTGGTCAGATCTTTTGTCTGGTCGTCTCTCGGACGGCACGACCGCATTGCCGTTGTATTATGTAGCACGCGCGGTCGTGCACGTCATATAAATTGTCAGGTCAAACTGAAAAGCTAATTACAGAAAAAGTTACAACTCTTAGAAAATAGGCTTCGCCCTTCGTCGCACCGAAATTTTTATCTGTCCGCTCGCTCTACACTTGGCCAACCATAGATTTGCTTCCGGCGGCTTTCTTCTCCACAAAGAAGTGCAAAGGCTACAGACAACTGTTTGCTGTTAGAGGTCGAAGAGGAAGACTGCGGCTCTGTCTTTTGTAAGCGCACGCGCGTACACATGTACCCGCGTTATCCCCGCGACGAACGGGCATCGCGCGCGATATATCCACGACGAGTCCTCCGGATAATCGTTCATGCGTTACCTATACGCTGTTTCTCGCGGCGTTACTGGCATGCCTCTTCAGCAAAAGTTGCGATCTTATACCTGGGCATGAAAGAGCGCGGTAAACGCGCGCTTCTAGACCCTAGCTAACGATTCAGGGTTGGCCAAGCTCTCACTCATGCTACGAATCAAGATCGTCCTCCCTCTGGCTACTAAAGTAAGATACCAGCCCGCCGAACTCGCCAGTGCCTTCCTCATCGTATTGTTTGTTGCCGGCGCCAGGATCGCCTGGATGCGCCTGTTGCGGAGGTGGTACTTGGGGCGGCGGTGCCTGAATCGGCGGTTGATTGTCCGCCGGAGAGGAAAAGTGCTCCGAAGGATACGGCGAAGTCTGATAGGCGGCTGCGTCGTCCGCTGTAGACATCGGTGGTGGCGGCGGATACGCGCCGTAATGGTAGTTAGGAGGCGGCGGTGGGTGATAAGGCGAGAAATTACCAGGTGGTCGACTGGGTGGTGGTGAAGGTTGCTGCATGTTGTGATTAACAGGTGATGCGTTGGTGAACGGCGGCATCTGATGCCTGGGTCCCATGGGACTATCCGCAAACCTAGCCATCGACGGACCACCTCGCACGTATGGCGGCGGTGGTGGCGGTGGCGTGGGTCCTCCCTTAGCTAATGGACTGCCGGCTGATGGCGGAATCATCGCCGGTCCGGGTGTCAATGGAGAACTGCGATCCCTGTTGATGGAAATAGGTCCACCGCCCGACGGCGATGGATCCATAGGATGGCGACCGGTGTGATACATCTGCGGTCCGGGTACTCGCATACGCATTGTCGGTGTTCCCGTCCCCACTGCAGCGAAATGCGGCGGCATAGAAGATTGACCCGCTTGCCGGTATGGAGATGGGATCCTGGCGCGCGGTTGCATCTCGTATCCTGTTCGCGGCCCGCCCATCATCTGTCCGCCCGCGTTGGGTGCGCCGAAGTACTTGTGACCCATTGCAGCCGCTGCAACAGTGAACGATTGCGGGCTACTGGATACCGGCTGTGACTGAAGCATCCTCGTGATGACGGAAGACTGTTGACCAGGCGGAAGCGACGGATAAACAGGCTGCGAGTTCGAGGATTGCGTCGAGGGTGGACCTGGAGTCGGCACGGTGTTCGCCGGCGGTGTGGAAGGTGCTGAGCCAGATGTACTGCTGCCTGGCGTGGGAAGAACGTTGGGGATATCGTTCTGCTTCATTTCCGGATTTGAATCGGTCCCCATACCGATCAAACCAGCTTCAGCTGCAGCCTTGGCTGCCGCCTCAGCTGCTCTGGCCGCCTCCAATGCCAATGTCTTCTTACCTTTACCTCGTCCGCGTCGTTTCGGCTTCATCGGCGATCCGTCAGGGTTGAAGAGTTGTCCATCCGGTCCAGTCATGAGAGGAATGTGTGCCCCTTCGGCACTCCTGTCAGTGTCCGGCGTCAGAACTGTAGACAAAGTGGGATTCATGTTGTGCGAGACACCACCACTAGCACCGTCCGGGGTAACACCGCCGCTGACCGCAGGTGCCATACTGGTTATTCCTAGATCCGGAGCACCGTCTCTGCGCATCTGCTCAGCGATTATCTCGGCCTTACTACGTCGGCCGCGTTTCTTCTTTTTCGGTATCTCGCCATCCGTACCTTCGGGCGCGTTAGCATCTCTTTGCCTCTCTGCCGCAAGTATTTCCAGAGCTTTCAAGCGCGCTTTTTCTAATTTTTTGGCTTCTCGTTCCTCTTTCTTCTTCTTCTTCGCTATCTCGATCGCAGCGAGCTCAAGTTGTCGTCGGCCATATTCCTCGTCCTCCATCATCATTTGCTCGAGTTGCTCGTCGTCCAAATCGGCCAATTCTCCAGCACCAAGTCCTGTCAGTGAACCTTCTGGAACGTCTCCAGCGAACGAACTCGCCACCGACATTGTCGTACCAGTCAGTCCGACGTTGTCCGGAAGATTATCATCCATCTTAGAGGCTATATCGCTAATAGGATTGTCCATGACCGCGCCGATTATATCCCCGTCTGGTTCTTCCTTCTGTTTCATCAATTTACGCGCTTTGTTCTTGCTGCCCGGTTTTGGCCCTGGTTTCTTTCTTTGCTTTGGCATGTCGTCTGATATCGACTTACGCTTCGCTGCGGGACTTTTGCTGTTTCGCGGTTTTTTCGCCTTTGGTGACTTGTGTTTAAATTTTAGAGCGTCTTTCTTGGGAATATAAACGTCTCCTGAAACAATCAAGCAATATTATTTTCAAAAATATATTTAAAAATAAGTTAATATTGTAAGATCAGTGACAATGTTTAAAATAAACACAATGGAAGAATCTTAAATAATTATTTTTAACTTCAAGTTTGGTAAAGTGACAGAGACGTGATACGTTACCTGAGTCAGAATCCTTGTCCCCGTCATCGTTTATTTCATCAGCCTCATTCACCACAAACTCATCTTCGCTTTCCCCAGTCTTTCTCATCATTAGCGCCTTCTTGAGTTCCTGCAAAATAATTACGATTTTAATGTTTTGCATCGTTATAAAGTTTAAATTACTCATACCTCCTCGCTATCTGATGCCATCTCCTCTCGATAATTGATTTTTCGCCCTCGAGTCCTTCTGCTTAATATTTCCTCCTCCTCTTGCTTGTTCTCGTCTGGAAGTCCACCGTAAATAATCTGCAAACGATAAAATTTAATAAACGCTGTTATTCTTTTCAAAACATAATTTGCCATAATTAATATAAATGAAATATGAAATAAGAAAAAAAGATTAGCAGAAAACTTTTCACATACAAATCAAATACAGTAGTACAGAGAATAACGATTGATTCGTCATAGAAGAGTTTAAAGTATTTTTGCTGATTATAAAAATTGTTTTTTTTTTTAAACTGACAAAATATAATATTTTGATAAACATTCTATTGTACTGGTAATTACATATGATTTAAAAGTGTGTAATCAAAACGTTTCACGTTAAAATATAATAATATATATGTGGGCTATTAACAACATGTGTATTAATGAAGAAATCAAAGATATTCCAACGGCAAATCACTATGTATTGTAACTGAAATAAGCATACCTTACGTCGTATAGTTGGGACTTTTTTCGGTTTAGGCGCAACGTCCTGAAAAAATTATATTCGATATTAATTTCCACTTTACGCTAAATTAAATTAATAAAAATTTCTAAAATAAACTTCATTAAATTAATAATTTCTAAAATATAAATTGATACACTAAATTAATTAAATTATACTTACTTTTTTTATTTTCTGGATTGGCACTCTCTCTTGCGGTTCTGGAACTTGTGGGACATGTGCAACCTCTGAGGTTGCTTCTTGTAACCCTTTATCCTTCATTTCAACATTATTTTCATCCATTATATTTTCAAAATTCTCCTGTTTATTAACGTTCATCGTCTCGTTTGTCTCAGTAGTATCTACGTCTTGCAAGTTTGGCTCACATTGTTCTTCGACTTTTGGCTCATCTTCTTCGTCGTTCTCACTCTGATTGTCAGATTCTATTATACGTTTTCTCTTTTTCTTCTTTTTCCCTTTTGTTTTCGGTATTGTTCTGATCCTAGACGTCGTCATTGTTCTACTTCTGCAATAATTAAGGACCAGATAACAGTTAAAATATTGTTTTTAATCATCTTGAACGTATCATTTTAAACATTAAGCGCATTTCTTACTTTTTCTTTCTTTGCCTCCACGAATTATCACTGTCTTCGCTGTCCGAATCCCCCCACATCGATCGCGATTTTTTCCGCTTGGGTCGATCACTTTCTTCACTGTCATCGTTAACTAAAATGAAAATTTGTGTGCAATAACTCTCATTTAAAACTCAATTTAAAACAATGTCTCTGAAAATATTTGTTTTAAAAATGTATAATTGAGTTAAAAAAAATTACTTTACCAAAGTTGTATACACACTTACGAGGAATGTCATACATAAAAAAAACGATATTAAGGAGCACAATAAGTAATTTTTCATTTGTTAACTAAAACTTACTAAAATCATCGTCGTAACCTCTGGTCATGCGCGCTCTGGTAGATCTTCTAACGGGACGTAGTTCGCCCTTCCTACCACGTCGTTTCATATTGGCAAAGGTACTTTCGTCAGATGACGTGATATGATCGTCAAAGTCCTCTTCATCATCAGAACTTGAACCTTTGAAATCCTCATCACTCTCAGGATCATCTTCGCTGCTTATATCAAGGCTGTTTAGTTTCCGGTGTTTCTTACGCGCCAATAACTTTTTAGCAACTCTATTTTTTTCTTCCTCTATTTCGTCGATTATATCTTCGTTTTCGATTTTATATTCTTCGTCGCTTTCTTTTTCCGATTTCCTCTCGATATCATCCCTGTCTTCTTCTAATTGTGTCATCTTTAACGCTTCGGCCTAAAAAGGAAAAAACATATATATGATAATACTACTATTCATTTTCATATTACGTGTTTTCATTTAGTCATTTTACCTGAGCCTCTTCTTTTTCTGCGTTAACTATAGTCGCAATGTCCTTGCCTCTTCCTTGATTACCAGCACCTTGGACCGCTTCGACCTCATCCTGAATCGCGGCATTGATCATGTCATCGTATTCGTTAAATTTGTAGGTGCTGGCGCATCGACGTTCACGTAATTGATAAACTGGTTCACTTTCTTCGCTGCTCGATGTATCTGAACAGGAGGCCGATGTAGAAGACGTAGATTCTGAAAACAGTTTAAAAAAACATATTATAATAACGCTAATACGATTATATTAATTTCATTCGACACTACATTTAAGACTACAATTAAGACAAAAATATAACTACTATATAAAATATAACGCTCACCGTTATCCGATTCTTGACTGGATGCTTTCGATCCTTTCGACAAACGCTGTGTCGTGTCACCTTGTCCAAGCACGTTATCCAAGCTTATGCCGACAAATGCTAATCGTTTCTTCCGCAGTGCTTCGTTTTCGTGTCTCTTTGTTAACTGATCGTATGTTTTCAAGGTTTCCCGCAGCTTTGTTACTAGTAAATTCTTGAAAAATAATTTTATACAAATAATTATTTATAAATTTAAAAGAACAAATATTGTGTTATATTTTATACTTATGCTTAAGTAAATAACGAACTTACATGCTGACACGGCGGGCAAAACCAGTCACCTTCAGGTATGAGCATAAGGGCTGGCCTGAGACATGAGCAATGCCAACCTTTATCGCACGAGTCGCACAATAGGATCCATTCAGGATGATCAGCCTTGCTACATTTTTGACAAGCGTATTCATCCTCTGCTTCTTCGACGTCGCTTTGGGCTAATTAGAAATAAAACGTGCAATAGAATTATATAAATTATATAATTGTATAAAGATTTAATCGAATTTCTTTTTAACGGAGAACTTACCCTTTTGAGCGGTTCTCGCACGTCTCAACGGTTCTGACTCTTGATCCTTTTCAAGATCGCTCTCCGGAGAAAACTCGTGATCACTTTTAAACAGCAAAGATCCCTCACTCTCCATGTCTTCTTCTTCTTCCTCATCCTCATTTTCATTTTCCTCATCACTGCTAGATCCAGATGAACTCTGCCATGGATTCGCTTCGTTGAATTTTGTCAGCATCTTTTTCTTTTTCCTCTTTCGTCGCTTCTTCTTGGACTTTTTCTCTTTTTCAATTTCTTTTATGATAACTTCGTCTTCGCTTTCCGTCTATACGATAAATGATCGATTATTTATATGATTATAAAAGATGTGTTTTTTCTAGTACGTTTACACGAAAATTTACCTTCTGCTTCCTTCTCTTCTTCTTGTCAGATTCCTTTTTTTCTTCCAACTCGCGCATGGATTCCTCCTCGATCCTACGTCTGTCTGCTTGCTCCTTGATTTTCAACTGCGCTATTCTTCTTGATTGTCTGACAGGCGTTTCATTCTGCATCATTGATGCTTCAGTTTCCAATGCAATGTCTCTACCTATTTCTAAGCCCAGAACCATTTTTCCTGTAAAAAATAAAACTCTGGTAAGTTTTAACCAACATACTGTTTCTCAACGAACGGTACCTAACGTTATGCTTCTCATAGGCGATTATTACATCTGTATACTCACGTTTCTTCCTCCTCTTTTGCGTCGTTGGTGCCATGTTCAAAGCGTCATTTGGAGTCCCATCGGGATGAATACCAACAGATACTTGATCGCCCTGAAATCCTGTGATTTTTGGCCGACTGGGTCGCCCGGCACTCCGAAAACCGCGCCTTCGTCTGCCTCTGGGACGACCCCTGGCCTTTCTGTCGATCACCGTTGCATGTATTATATTCGGATCGTCGTTGTTATCTTTATTGACGTGTTGCGGTGCTTTCTCAGAAACCTCGCATTTCGCAGCTTCATCTTCGGAGCTTATAGCTATCACTCGACTTTCCTCGATGGACTTCCGTAGTTCCTTGTCGGGCATGCGTTTTCCGCGTAACTTCATCCTTTTGCCGCCCATCATCTCCTCCTCCTCTTGTTTCGTAACGCCATCTTCGGAATTCGACTCATGAGCGCTATTACGTCGCTTTCGTGAGATCTTTGGGATCTCCGTAGTGTTGTCCAACTTCCATCCTTCGTAAACCAGTTCAGACACCGGTTTCACACGAATGCTTATCTTGGAAGTGGTTTCTTCTTCGGCGATATTCTTCAGAGCGTCGTCATCGGTACACGCTAAAGGATCGACTTCCTCTGACGGTGCATTAAAGACACTCTCATTGTCCGCACCCATCGAATCGTCGGAAATCTCGTGTATCGTTTTCAATTCAATACTCTGGATCTCCGAGGATTCTTTCTCCTCCGACGTTTCCAAGCTTCCGATCTTCTTCGAATTATCTGTTGGTGCGACAGCCGCGGAATCGTTTACTGTGCTGAAATCGTTTTGAAACAACTGCACTGTGGAGATCGCCGGTGGTTTTTCATCTTCAACTTTTGCCTCTAATCTCGCAATCTCGTTGAACGTGTTTAAAGTTTTAGGCGCTTGCACATCGGTATTTACTAAGTTTTCCAACGTCTTCTCTTCGGTCTCCAAATATGGAGGTTTGGACTTGATCGGAGGAACACCTTCTATGTCGGACGCGTCGTTCAGCCGCTTGCTAGCTTCTTTCTTCAAGTCGGATTTGATAGTACCAGTTTCCGAAACGGTTTCTTGAGTAAGAAGCGTGATCGATTCGTCATTCGCACCAGAAGCCGAATTTTTATTAAAATTTTCAGCAATCTTATTTACATTTATATTAAAAGGCTCATTTTGATTGTTGCAACTGTCCACATTGTTGATGCTTTCCATTTTCGAGGATATCGAGTTCGGATAATACGGGGTATCCGACGATACACTCCCTTCCAAATTTGCGTCCTCGTTTTTCCACGAGTGCGATTTATCAGCAATTAACGCTTTATCCACTTTCACAGACATAACGATGTTCGATTCGGCGTGAATCGGAGAGCTTACAGCCTCCATAGATGGTTTGGTTAAACATTCCCCGATTAATTTCACGTCGCATTTATTGTCATTACCACGATACTCTTCGAGATCTTCCTTCAATCTCTTGCAAGGTTGCGTAATAGGCAGTTCCTCGATATCGCGTTCATTAGCATCTTTCAACTTCGTAATGTTCTCGACGTCCAAACCAACGTTCGGTATCTCGTCTAGATCTTTCGCACGCTGCTCTTTCACGTGTAATACGTTGGTAACTTGGCTGTCTACGTCGTTGAATTCCGTGCTTTCACGAGCGAACGAAGACTTCTCAAATTTATTCGCGTCATCTTCATTAATATCATGAACGTTCTCTGATGTTAAACGATTCATCTTTTCCACAGTTTCCATTTGAACTGTTTTCACACTGTCAATTAAATTATTTGGACGCTCCTTGCTTTTCTCACTATGGCTAATAGTCATCTCGGTATCCTTGCTCGTAACAGGCTCAGTGGTTTCATCAATTACAGCTGAAGCTTCCACAAACTTTATCGAATCGGACTCCTCCAGTAGTTTAGGATGATCGGTAACAGATTCATCGCAAATATCTAGTTTTCTCTGAGGCCCATCTTTGTCTAAAGGCGTTGTCGATTCGTTAGTAAGACATTCGACGTTATTACGAGCAGATTTATCTTGCGCTTCGTCTGTGCATTCTTGTGCGCAAATTTTAACGTCTTGTTCTGCGGTTGTAGTGTCTAAATTCAATGCTTCGTTGACTTCAGCAAGTTTCTCTGTCTGCTGTTCAACAGACGGTTGTTCCAGAGGCACGTCAGGTGTCAGATTCGTGCTGTTGACTTTGTCCTCCTTGTTTGTCGACTTTTCATGAGCATCTTCGATCTTCTCTTCTTGTCTTGTCAAAGAGGCAACGTCGTCTGTAGAGTCACTCGCTTGCTCTACAACGTCTGGCTCAAAAACATTATCGCTACCGTCGTCATTGGAATCGCTGCTGTCGTAATTTGCAACTAACGACTGTTTCTTATCACTCGTTACCTTCATCTGTAATTCATGAGAAGTTGCGTTTGTTGTATCCACCTCTGATTCCGACACAGTTGCAGTTGGTGCATCTATTTCCGATTCTTCTTTATTTTCTGCTGTCTCCTCACTTTCATCAATTTCACAGACGTCCTTCGCAACTGCCGTATCCTGTTTATCGTCATTGCAAATTGTCCTCCTGTCATCCTCGGTGATCTTCTTGAGGTCGTTGACGCTTTCACTTCCAATGTCAATTTCGGACTTCCCCTTTGTCGAAACCTCAGCTTCTGCGATCGGACAGGATTCCCATTTAACGTTTGTCGAGACCGGATCTTCTTCCTTTTCTGATTCGCGCGTTATATCTTCCTGTTGTTGTTCCGCATTCGTTAGAATTTCTTCAGTCTCTTTAGATGATTCATTAGATTCAGACATACGATCGTCTATAATCATCTCTTCGTTTGAATCGTGATCGATGCAAGAGCTGGGATTTTCAAAAACATCGATAGCGCATTCGCTCGTGGATTGCACCAGGTTGGACAAATTCGTTTCTTTCGTGATTTCTACGGTATGAGGTTTTGATAGTTCGAAGATGTTCGCTTCAGGTATCAACGTTGGCAGGATATTGAACGTGGAAGACTTATTGGCGACATCCAATGTGTCCTCGACCTTTTCGTCGGCTATCCGTGTAGGTTCACTCTCTTGAGACGAAGAATCCTGTACGCAGGCGTCGTCCGAACTGCTTATGGTAGGAACTAAATCAAGCTTATCGTTTTCCGGTGCCGGCTCTGAACTACTCACTAGAGAACTTTCAGGCACATGCGCCTCGGATTCCATACTAAACGTTGTATCGTTAACTTGTACATCGTTCAGTGCCTTCTCCTTGGCTTCTTCGGAGTCGCCTGATCCATCGTCTTGCATCCCCATGTCTGACAATGCGTCAGTTCTCTCACTGCTCCTGTCGTAGTTGACGCACATCGAGTCAGCATCGGAACCGGTCAGACCCTTCATTTTCTCGTTGTCCGTATCGGTGGAGTGATCTTCTTGACCGTCGATCTCGGAGAAATTGTCGTTCCTATCACTCTGCTTATCACAGCTCTCCCCGGCCGAATCCAGATCGTTCTTTTGAAGCGTCTGATATTTCTCGGTTCTATCGTCCATCGGTCTACTCGTTTCTTGATAATTCGCGCATCTCGTCGAATTGGTGGAATCCAACAATTCGTTCGAGTTGTTTCCGTCCTCGAACTCTCGAAGATCGGCCAGTTCGGTTTGCGAATTTTGAGTGAGGGACGATAAAGACGAATGTGCCGTAGTTACGGACTCTGTTTTCTCTTGATCCTTGAATATACCGATAGTAGATGATTGATAATCGTCCTCATTCTTAGAATAATCGGCTGCTACCTTGTCGCTCTTTTCCCCCTCTTCCGACAGCTGCGACGTAACATCATCCGACCTCTCAATCGAGCTCTCTTGACTTTCCATGTCTGCGGATTTTCCAGAATCAGTAAATTGGTCGCATTGCGATGGCTCGACGATTCCGCTTTCCACTGATTGATCCGCACTGCGCTCGCTAGCCGAAATAATTTTAACCGGTTCTTCTGCAGTCGTATTTACTTCATTTGTACCATCGCTTCCAGATATCTCTGATATAGAGCTCGTAGTCAATTTTGAGTTGTCACCCTCTTCCACTTCTTTACTGCTGCAAACAGACTCTTGCACACTCAATTTTATACTCGCTGTCGTTTGAGCTTGCGTTTCGCTAGATGAATTAGCGACGTTATCTTCGAGCACATCACTCGGGTCTTTCGAGCTCCCGAGCGCCGTAGATGTCTGTTGATCCCATGGGTGGTTATTCGGTTCTTCAGTTTTCCCCACATTCTTGCTGCTATTTCCACTTGGGACATCGTCAGGTTCCGCAGTGAACGGATTTGTTTTTAAAGAATTATTATTCGTTCGCGTCAAGTCGAAGTCTTCTGTTTTATTGTACAGATACGATGTGTCATCCACCGATTTTGAGGACGATACACACTCATACTGTACAGTATCGGCTTTAGAGTACGCAGATGTAGTCACACTTTGCTCCGACTGCGGTCCTAACTCATCGGACTTGGAGGTATACGAGATACAATTGGGACCAAAAAAAAATCTCGGTGGGGACGCGGCTGCTGGTTTGCATTCATTATCCATTACTTCGGAAGTGTTCAATCCGTGCGAAGCTACGTTAAACGGATCGAAAGTATTTTGCACATTGGCCGAATGTACTATAGCTTCGGAATTTGTACACGACTCGAATCTCTGCGAGGTGTCCGCCTGACATGACGATACAGAGGAATCGCACTGCGTAGGTTCTTGAACCTTTAAATCCGTCTCCTGTTCTATTGTACTCGTGTTCTCTGAACTTACGTCAGCCATTTGCGACTTAGCACTATCCTCGATCGTTTCGCTCTTCGTAATCGCGGAGTTCCCATCTACCTCCGCGTCTCGATGTGGATCAGCAGAATCTTTGGACGTTTCCGCATCTATGGTAAAAAGCCTCTGCTCCGCGTCGTCGCGTTCGTCACGATCGTTCGTACTTTCTTTCAGTGATATGTCTCCTTCGTTTGATATGATACTACTGTCACATTCCGCTTTCTCTTCCGGTTTACCCACGTCCCACCTGGACGACCTTTTGACGGGGCCAGTTGTACTCTTCGGTATTATCTGAACGCCTAATGTCGGCTTGAACTTTGGCTTCTCTTGCATAGAATCTACAATTTGACAATTATCGTTTACGCTTACATTAGACTGCGGATAGTTTCTATTTAATTTTACAGGGGTTTTATTCGACATTATCGAGTCCGCGGATACTTCATCCTCGGTTAAAACCTTATTCTGCGACAGCGTCGCACTGGCCGAGTCAGGTTCATTTTTTGATTCGTTGCTTTCTTTATTGTCAGTGGACGCGTCGTCGCTGGGGTTGCCTGTGTCGCATTCAGCGCCGGAACCCTCGCCGTGAAAAAAACTCGTCGGTTCTTCGATAGCCTCACCAACAATGGGATTCACCGCGTCGCAGTCGCTGCCAGATCCCTCACCCTGAACCATCATCATCGGTTCCTCGATGGCTTCGCCTACCTCCTCTCTCCAGCTGTTGCTCATCATCGATCTCTTGTCCATGGAGCTTCTGATCGGATTTACATCGGCCCTTATCCTCTTCAAGATGTCTTGTTGCGCGTCGTCACCTTCCAATGGACGCTTCAGCGACGCAGTATTCATTCTCAGAGCCGTGATTTTGCTGGGATCGGGAAGTAACGTGTAGCTCGGCAATCTATGCTCATCCTTAGGTAATCTAACTGCATTGTGATACGGTGTCGAAGGCATCTCGTATGTGGAGAATGGAGGCCTCTTACTCAGATCGGCTAACATCGCCTGTTTCCGCATCACGCTCCGCGCGTCGTACGGCAAATTGGAGACCTCTGGTGGTTTGCTCGACTTTTTCGTGCTCAGATCCATCTCTCTGTGCTGGAAATCTGGTGTTCTGTATCCAGGGGAGGGCAGATCCACCATTTTGGCCAATTTTCGACTAGAAAGATCGATTCCGGAGAAGTCCATCGGTCGATTTTGTTCGTTTGCGTTCTCCCAGCCTCGCGGCGACGTAGATAGATCTATGCCTCTATGCCCTCGGAGCATCGCCGATTTCTCAGACTGATTCCTCGCGCAGAAGTCTTGTGGCAACCTGTCGTCTTCACTTCCGTTCACGACATTCCCCAGCATACCGCCGGACGATCTTGCCAGAGATTCCGCAATTTTTTCCAATGATTTCGGTCCACTCGGTTTCTCGAGCTTTTCAGACTGTATTCTCGAGAGATTCGCGGCCAGTTGATCTATCGGTTTGATCGACAATTTGCTGTGCCCCACGGGAATAGAATCAGCGGTCGAAAATGGTAGACTATTTTTGCCAGGTAGTTTTTCATGCGTCTTCACGACGGGATCCGCCGGGATCTCGTCAGCGGCGCTGAGTTTCTTCATCGTGTTTAATACTGCAGCAATAGGCATAGTTGGACTTGCTAACTTTTCTTCTGGCGCCTGTTTCAATTCGGCGATATTGACCAGTTTCAACGGAGATGTGATAACAGGTGTTTCTATTGACTTCAACGGTGCCGATTCTTCGAGTTCGCTTTTAGTGACACTCGTTATCGTGAGCACAGTTGGCTTATGCGTCACTGCGGACTTGGTCTCTGGCGCTAAAGAAACGGCAGATGCTTCATCGGTAGCCTCTCTGTGGTTCGTATCTTCCACGGTTGTTGTATCCACCTTTAGATTCGTCGTTTTCAAATTGTCTGTACACCTTGATTCTGTGCTCGGAGTTTGTACCATTTCTTGAGAATCGTCTTCCTCCGTGATTTGCTTGGAATTTTCATCATTCGTCACATCCTCGTCCGCGTCAATATCCTCTTCATCATTTTCAGCTTCGTTGCCTATGTCGTTCTGATCCTGATCTTGATTCTGCTCGTGTTCTTGTTCGTCTTCGAATTCATCGCTCCTACCGTTTGGTAGTTGCTTTTCATTTATCTCGTTCACATGGGCGTTATTCTCTTGCACAACTTCGTCCTCCAGACTTGGAGACGTCGTCACTTGACCGGTGTCTATTATAGGTTTCTCAGAAATTTCCAAGCTGTTGCTATCCTCGTTGATCGGTATAGCTTCGGCTTCGCCGTTCGACAAGGTGTTTATAAGATTAACAACACCTTCTCGATCCCTATTTAGAAGGTCATGGCGTATAAACTACCATTGCAAGATAAAATTTAGTCCAAGAATATAATTAAATATTACCAAAATAATATTATAATACAACTGTACTCGTAATCTATGCATTTGTCATGCAATATGTAAATACAACTTACTTAGCTACTAGCTCCCAATTTTCTTCATCTAAATCTTCCCTATAGACTCTTATGTTGCACTCTTCATCCAGCTGACACCAATATGCCAATCCACTTTTGTCCCTTCCTAACGGTTCCACACGCAATTCGTCGGCTGCCAATTTGTTTACTTCGTTCTTAAACTTTTGATTTAAATCAAATTGTGTTTCCAATAGTACCTAAAATAGAGAAAAAAGCACTTGCACATCAGGGAGGATTATCTTTTGCAAATTGTGAATGAAAGTAGCTAAAATCATATGGCTCATACTTTAAGTAGACGCAGTTTAACAGCAATACGGGCTTTTTTGTAGCCAAAGCGTTCAAGTTCCCAACCATCCTGATTTGAGTAGGTGTGGCAAAACTTAACCAGTGCTCGTTCCCACTTTTCTGATGAGACAGTTTTACGTGTTTTACGCAATAACTTGACGTGCAGGTCTATTAGTTCTTGTGATACTAGAAGGAACATACCATATATCCATAAGAGTCATAAACAAGTACAGACGAGGAATATTATTTGTATCTCATGTTGATAAAATTTCAATGTAAGAAACAACTTATTGCAAAGTTTTCAGATAAGACATAACATATCTTTAATTCTTGGATGCATAATCCAGTGTAACAATAAGTCTTTTTCTTATTGCTAAACTAGTGTGCACTTATAAAACATAGTTTAGACAGATACAATTGAAATTTAGTGAAAAAAAAGAAGAAAGCTAGTGCATGCTAGTGCAGTCAGTTCAGCAATAAAAAAGAAACCTGATACTAACATAGAAACTACTATATAAAGAACTAATTTAGATAAATATTAATAAAATATTTAAAGTAATTTTTTTAAGGTTAGCGTAAAAGTCGAATAACATAATTAACAAATATATATTTTACACCATAGAATTAAAGACATTCATTAACGCAAAGGCGAGTTCTCGTACTCGAGACACGAGGAACGTTGCGAGGATCAGTGACGTTTCCGTGAAATCGAAGCGGGCCGGCGCTTGTAACTCGTAATCACGTGTAACCGACAAGTTGACAACAAGAAAGGTGGCAGCACGCGGCAGAATAACAACAAACGCCAAGTCTATCTCGCGCCTATCTGTCAATAAGACCGTCTTGCAAGGAGAATGCCGTATCGTTAGGCCGCTCGTTACCGTTCTCAGGTCGGCGCGCAACGGGTGAGGGCAAAAGGTGAGGAGGGACGCGGCGAGCAGAACCGCCACAGCTAGCGATCTCGCGCCCAAGCTCGCGCCCAAGCTCGCGTCCGCACACCAAAACAAAAAGCGACCCGTCACAGATCCACGACGTTCGTTGTTTTCGCTCGCCAAGAATTCGGAACAAAAGCGACGTTTGCGTCGGAACGAACGACCACGAGCGTACAGACGCGTAGAGACGAACGAGGCTCGCAGTCGAAGCGGAATCGTACGAAGGAAACTAATAGTACGCGCTAGACGACTGTGGCCTCCTCTTCGGCGGGGGCGGGTCGCGGTCGTCGTTGCCCCTCACTCGCTCGCTCACTCGCTCTCACCGTGCTCTATCTGTCCACCCCTCTCTTTCTCTCTCTCTCTCCCGTCGTCTATTGTACGCATATATGTATACACAGCCGTATAGTCTCTCTCTCTCTCTTTCTCTCTCTTTGTCCCTCCCTACGGTGCGCGCGAGAGCAGCACGTACACACGAGTGCAGGGAAGAGACCGGAACGGAATAGAGACCTACCTTCGAGTGTGTTCTCGAGCATCTCTTGGAGCCGCGTAATGTCCGGGTAAACGATGCCGCAGGACTTGCCGAAGCAGCCGAGAAACGAACAGATCACCGCAAAATTTGGGTCACTCGCGCAAGAGGCTTCGTTATCGGACGCCATTTTTCCGACCGCTTCTCGCCGTTGGGCCTCGTCGCTACCGCTACCGCCACCGCGACGGCCACCGCCAGTGCCACAGCCACCGCCACCGACACCGCCAACGCCACCACCGTCGCCGCCGCTGCCGCGACGAGCGCCAGGCAGGCGAGAAATACTAACTCGCTAGGTGGGCCGACAACGACTCGCCGCGCATCCCATTTCTCCCACACACAGGCAGCTATCCGCCGCAAGTGCGAATCACAAATAGCGGCGGAAGCGACAAAACGTAATGTGACAAATCGCGCGCGTTTAGTCGGCCCGGCGTCGTTAGCAGGTAGTTGGTCGCCGGGCGTCTCGACGCCGACGCTTCTCCCTTTCTCGCCACTTTCGTCTTCCTTCACCTTCTCGCTGTTGTCCGTTCGCTCACTCGCTCGCTCGCTCGAACGGTGCCTTCGCGCGCCTCCTCTACCTGCCGCTCGCGTCGGCGACGAGAGGGGACACGAACACACACTCGGGGAGACAGAGAGAGAGAGAAAGAGAGACGAAGATACCACTCTCGTCCGCCCTCTCGAGAGCGGACGAGTGAAAAAAAGCGCCACCGCCGCCGCTCCTCTGTCTCTCTCTTCTTCTCTCGAGCTCTTTATGTCGATCTCTCTCTGTCTTACGTTTTTCGCTCTTTTTCTCTCCTATCTATTTCTCTTTTTCCACCGCTTCGCAAATTTTACACAAGTCACTAACACAAACACATTGCACGCTAGAGCCCTATACCCGCCTTCTCTGTTCTCCTCCTCTCTGCCCTCCCACCAGCCCTTTCCGTCGATCTCACTGTTTCTCTCTCTCGCACGTACATTCAATGTCTCACTTCGTCGATGCCGAGAGCGCGCGCGGGCGCTCCCGCGCACGCACGTACGCACGTCGCGACGACACGACGCGACGACGACGACGACGACGACGACAACGACGACGACGACGACGACGACAACGACGACGACGACGACGATGATGATGATGACGACGACGACGACGACGTTAGTCAAGGATTCGGCACGACGTAATACACGATTCGACACGGATATCACACAACGCGAACAAACACGGATGTTCCGCGTAACTTGCTGCAGGTCGCGACGCTCACGTCCTACACGGACGTGCGTGTGACGCCGCACACGATCGTCGAGTCACCGGGTACACACGAGCAGCGTAGAAACGACCATCACGACGACGACCAAACGCAGCCCCCTTCTTCGTCGCGCAACACAGCGCACTGGACATCGCCTTCGGGATTGGAAACATACGGGCGGTTCTCAACTTAGACGACGGACGCGCGGCGCGTTCAGGATCGTGTTTCACAGGCGACTTTCGTGAGAGCTGAGCGTTCGTCAAATAAATAAAATTTTAGTATAAATTATCAAATTTGTTAGACCATTCATAGATTATTAATTTACTATTATAATAAAGTGTGATTATCTAGATCTGATAAGAATTAGGAAATGACAACCATTGAGGTTTTTAATTTATAATTGACTTTATAAATTATTGTATTAAAGTCTCTATTTCGGTATAACTACTTTAATACTTGTTAAATTATTACAAAGAGAAGGCAATTATGCAATTAATGGTTACAGCTCGCTGTTATTATTAAGTTTAATGAAATAATCACAATTATTACTGTGTATCTTCATTAAAATATCTTTATTATCGTACAATTGAGATACTTGCTCTTAATTTTCTCCAAATTCGTATCAAAATAAACGTCCTGTTTCTGCCGTTTCCCGTTTCTTTACTACAAATCTTCCTTTACTACAAAGTTCTAAATTATTTTATAGTTATTGTTTATCACGTAGAGAAAATAACTTAAAAGGATTTATTAAGATAAGATTTGGATAAATATGTAGCAGTAAAAGTGGAAAGGTCCTTTATTAACTCGAGACTGCATTGACCATACCTGCGTTCTTTAAGCCGCGTCCACAAGAACATTTTCTTTTTTCTCTCTCTCTCTCGCTCGCTCGCTATCATCCTATCTTTCTCTCTGTGTCCCCTCTATCTTTCTCTCTATCTCTACGTTTGGTCAGTTATCTTTCTAATCACGCATAAGACCGAGTCATTCGATTCGCAACGTTACAGCCTTCGTTTTCAGCGTCTCGGCACTGGTTCTCATGCTGTGTAGCCGTTAAAAATGAAGGCCGCTTAGAAAGAGCGCGAAAATCTACGACGAGATGTCAGTCGCGTGTCTCGAGGCCCCCTGAGCGACGACGCTCTCGCTCGATGACGTATCTGCGCAGTTCGCGGAGAGCATGAGCACTCGCGTCGCAGGGCGGCACCTGAGGAAAATACGAAAGGATATAAACGATAGAAAGTTAAATTCCACACGCGTCAGCGTAGGACGATATGAAAAAACCCAATCTGTAGGAAGTGGAATTTCACGCGTACCGAATCATCGATATGTGCGATCCTCGATAACAAAAGTAACACTTACGGGCTACTGGAGTCTGCCGAATAAGCGTCATTAGATAATACGGTGATAATCACAGGGCAACCAAGGTCCAATTCGCGGACGGCCCTGCCCGGCGAAAGAGAAAAGGACGTAAGGCTCGAAGCCTCTTGTGAGCGCATGTTTCTTTCGAATTTAGCTCTTGAGTTGATCGGAGAATTCTATCCGGCGAGTTCTTCGCCTTAGATAGAAAGCGATGGCTCCTTCAATCGATTTTTAACTCTGCTGAAAAAGAAAAAACCATATGCAGAAACGATGACAGATATTTTCAAAGTGATGCACCAGTACACAGTAATAATCAGTACAAAAATAAACATTGTTCAGAGAAAATGCTAACTGTTTCGAAGCGTGCAGCAACGCTGACGATGAGTCGAGCTGCGGGATCGATCGGCGGCACAACGAGAGAACGTACATCCGATTGCCCCGGCGGGGGAACAAGATCGAACGCGTATGAAAACGATTGTTCGCGCGCAATTCTTTCGAGGCGCGAGGAAAAATTTTTTTTCCTTTCCCTCTTTTTTCCGAGGACACGTCGACGCTTTTGCAGAAAGGGGCTGCGTAATAGGTGTGTCAATGGGTTAAGTTATTTATCGATCGTGCGCACAGCTGCCCACCCTCGAGAGAAAGCGAGAGAGACAGAGAGAGTTGTCCGAGGACGCCCATGGGCGCGACGATTCGATCGATCGCGACGAGAAGTCCGTCGCCGAGATGCGAGACAACGAAGACGGCGACGTAGGCAAGTGTAGCAGTAACATCGCCGGCATTACGAGGCCGCTATAATCCCGGGAAGTTGAATTTTCAATGTTACAGTCGCAAAAAGAGCGTGCGAACAATATACGTGATCTTCTTCTCGACACAGATAAACGTCGGAGATTGTTTTTGCGCAGTTACAAAGTCTTGTAATCGGAATTTCATGAAATTATATATTGCCTTACGCATACGTGCTTTCTGCACTTCCGGCGCTTACAAAGGAAAAACTGACGTATTTTTCGCGTCTCGAAAGAGAGACAGAGGGTGACGGGAGAGGGAAAAAGTGCAGTTGAGTGTAGAAGGTACAGGCTACGCGACAAATCTACCGGCCGCGATCGATCGCGCCGGCGGAGGCTGCGAAAATGTCACGTATCTAGATAGATGTAGGCAACAATAGGCAACTCTCCGTTGGGCCATCGACACGTGCCGTGGGATGACCTCTCGATCGATAGGATTGCACGATAGTCCGTAGGTTAACGGGCAAAAATAGCGTGTGTGAGCTCGAGGCCTATCCAGGCAAGAACGAGAGAGAGATCGCTAATTAATAAACAAAAAATTCTACGAAATCGCCGCAAACACAGAAAGGCCAATTGAAGCTTAAACATCCAAATATGTCTATTGCATATGCTTACAGTTAAATCTAATTAGCTCTCTTATCTCTAGTCCGCCAATTTGTCAAGTTTTCAAAATACGAGACACTAAGCACATATTGTCGAAGATACAGAAACCGATTGCGCGGAGATTTTTCGCAAGGATGCAAGAACAAGGACGCTGTCCTTGTGTTCTTTACATGATATATTATTTACATTAATTCTTGCAGTCTTTGTGTAGGATTGTTGAACGTAACTTGATTTGTTAAGCACGATATACGTAATATCGATACAAAACACTTTGACGCACAGCCTTTACTCCTGAGATTTTTGTAACTCGTAATCAACAATCTTTATTTATGTATGTATAAAGTTATATTTACAATGTACATTTCTAGAGAAAAAGTCTTAGCCTATATTATCTAATATAACTCGTTGCATTCCACAACTTTGTGCCGTTTTAAATAACTCGTCGTTTCTTTTTTGTACCTGAAGTCATCAACTACTCTTCTCTTCACATCTGTTGTATCTACGTAAAATCATTTCGCATTTCTGATTGATAGCGCATCGAAAAGTATTCCTCCCTTTTTAAATATTTGTTTCAACGATCTATTAAATTAAAAAATTATGAATAACTTATCTTTTTCGCATTTTTGCAGCCGATGATTATCGCGTTGAAATCGTAGTTGCGAAGCAGCTGCTGAGGAAGTCATTTGGAATGCAACCATTTTGTGTTAAAACTTTTGAAGTATACGAAGTAATGCGTAGCCGCGTACTAAATAGCGCGCGAATTTATTTTACGCGCGCTATTCATTTCGTACATCATCAGAAGTTCTGCTAGATCGTTACGTTGTAAGTTTTCCTTACGAGCATATAGAACGAAGTGTTTATCGTGAATACCTGATGTATGTATGCAACAGTATGTAATGGTGATGTTGATTATAACTGCAAAAGTTTATATGTATATGTAAATATATACATGGACTTTTCATATTAAATTCAACAATTTCAGACGTACTTTATATGCTTTATCTCTCGGTATCTGGTAACCAATCATAACAGTTATCGTATAGAAGCATAATTTGCGATATAAAAGTAGAATATGTATAAAATAGACCGTAAATAGTTTATAAATATTAACGGCACTAGTCTCCGCTGTACTTCGCACATCTCCTATCCTTATTTAATGATCATCATAGAATATAGAAATGACTGACATGTTAGATAAATGTCATGAAGTAACTGGCACAATCAACATTCTCATCTACATAGAATAATTGAAGTAAAATAATTATCTGTTATCATTTGTTTCTTCTTTTTTTCTTGCAGCCTTAATTACTTTGGTCATTGCCGCTTAATATTTTATATCAAATTTTAATATAAAAATTTAATTTTTACGTTTACACTTACAAAGAGAGGAGTAGCGAGACACGTTTTGTTATAAATATATTCGATATACACGCACACACACACATACACACATGTGTATATAATATATATATATATATATATATGTGTGTGTGTGTGTGTATGTATATATATATATATATATATGTATGTATGTATGTATATATTACAGGTTGAAAATGTTATATAGTAAATAATTCTACAAAAATGTACAAAATTTGATGCAATTAAAAGTTGAATCAACTTTGAATACCGCACGTGTGAACTGATAAGAACTGATAGTATAGGTATTAATTTGAGTTTAAAATTAATTATTAATTTTTACATTATGACTACAAAATAATTGTATTTATACGTATTTGCGTCGAAATAATTCATCAAATTATATGTTCATCGTTTCTACAGCTTTTTATCTCCTCGATTTTATTAAATGATTTAATTCATATATCCTTTATATTTACACGTATTAGAAGAAATAGTTTAAATTTCCTAAAGTGAGAATCAAGTTTGAACGTCAATAAACGCCTCACAAGTAAATATTTTTTTACAGGAAACTTTCGGTTTCTTACAGCTATTTGTTGTAAAGATGTATAATTAATCATGAATATGGAAGATTGTTGCAAAGCCCGTAATATTTATAGAGATAACTAAGTTAAATAAATTGAGATAGAAAATCTCAATCAGAATTTTCTTTGAGAAACCGATAATAGAATGAAACATTTTCTAATTCAATGTAATAAATCTGAAAGTTATAAGTTGCGCAAAACTTAATATAAAATCTTACTTGTACAAAATCACTTAGATGTTTTTTTGCGACGTGAGGTTCTTGATCTGCTGTCTATATATTTCCACTTCTTTCTCCTTTTTCTTGTACTGCTTAAAATATTCAGCTGCTTGTCTTTGCGTTTCTATTAATTGTCTAGTCAATTCCGCTATATCCGTTACTGTCTTAGGATTTTCTAGATTGTCCTCTTCAGTAACTTCTTCTATTTCATCATTCAATTTAAAAATTATTGGTTCTGCAATCTTTGTAGAAGTCACAGTTTTATTCTGAAACACAGAAAATTGTTTTTATCAAATGATATTTGAGTAGTTGGTGCATATTCTTTTTTTATTCTTCGTAAAATTATTCGTATTGTTCATATATTATTAATTTTGTGTGCAAAATAATTTTACCTCGCTTGATGAAAAGGAATTGTTGGATTCATTGACAGCAGATAGTGTCGTGGTATTAGGAATCGTTGTAATGAGTACTTTTCCAGCTTTGCTATCTATAGAAGATCTTTTCAAGATATTTGGAGCTCGTGATGTAACAGTAGGTAGATTTGGACTTACAATTTGGTTCGCTTTAATTGCTATGACTTTTCTCGCCGTTCCTTTCCGTGGAGAAACTTGAATTCGTCTTATATTAAACGAACCTCTAGTTGAATTTAAAGCGAGTTTTCCAGCTTCTACAATTACAAATTATTATCCTGAGAAATACTGTACACCCATATTAATATTCCTTCTTATTTATAGCATTTAACAAATAGGAAAAAAAGCCAAACCTGTTAAAACCACCGTTCTTCCACTTTCCATTGCATTTTCTACAATAGATGATTCATGATCAACAGGTATCATTGTAATTCCATGCGTTTCTAATAACCTAAATTGCTTGTTAACATTTCCTATCGATGTGATGTCTTTATGTTTTTTACTGTTAACAGTATCGTTCGCATCAATCATCTCAATATTATTTATTTCTTTTTCTTGTTCGCTGCCACTAGGTACACGAATTTGTTGAAAGATTACTTTTGACTTTGTCTCACCTTGAACTGCAATTTTACACATGGAAGAAAGTATAAATAAAAATAGAAAATTTTACTTTTATAGAAAAATGTTACTGTACTTACCTTGGGTAAGCTTCTGTTTAGATGAAGATAGTTGCTGTAACGATTCCAATTTATCCTTTATCTCATCAGCCTCTAATTGCATTAAATTGTGTGTAGCTGCTTCTAATTCTGCAGAATTGGCCTCGCTTTGCTGGTGACTTTTAATACCTATTATCTCCCTTTCTTGTTGTAATATATCCACTAGATCTAATCTATCATGTTCTAACGCAAGACTGACAGGAGTCTTGCCAAATTTACTAATCGCTCCTGGATCAGCCCCATGTTCTAGTAAAATATGTATTATCCTTACATGTTCACGTTCTACTGCCCAATGCAAAGGAGTCATTTTCAACTGAAAGAATCATTCATGTTGATTGTATGGAGTAACCTCTAATTCAACAAATCTCTAATCTATGTTTTGATATTGTACCATGTCTCTGCTATCAACTTCTGCTCCATGATATAGTAATAGCTGTACCATCTGATAATGGCCCTCATATACTGCCATATGTAATGGGGTTCTATCGACTTTTGTCTTGGCATCTCTTGACATGCCAGCTCTGAGCAAGATCTCAGCAATATCCTTATGATTGTATTGTGCAGCTAAGTGGAGTGCACTTGTACCAAGCTGAAATAGAGATGTTATATATTGTAAATGTTACAAATATATCATTATAAATTCTGCATATAATTATTGTTCAAATGTTATAACATACCCAATCAGTACTAAATGGTGCACCCCTACTCATAAGCTCACGGACAGTCTCAATGTCTCCAGTTTTTGCATTAATTAAAAGCTGCTTGCCAAGCTCTACTACCGATATGCTATCTTGAGATCTTGGACGAGGAGTAACGCAAGAGAATATCTCCACCTAATGACAATTGCAAAATCACCAATATTTACAATACAAAGTTACTGTCATGAGTTTAACTAGTATATCATGCAATAAGCCAATTTATATGCAGCTCGCAGCAAGGAGAACACTCACTGGTATGAAAGTGTCTGCATCTAAATCCTCAATATCATGGGTAGATATGCTTTCAGTTTGCATTTTTGTGTCTTGTGCTCAGTTCTCTTCGTGTAGATGAGTTCTAAAATGAGATTATCCATAACAGTGACAGTAGCAGTAAATTTTTCTTGAATATGTGGTTGAAAGCAACTGCACACGACTTGTTTTGAGACGTTAGTATCTGTCGTTCGACCTTGGATCACCAAAATTGTAAATGGGTTATAAAAATAATAAAGTGCTTTTATCAACGATTAAAACCTACAAAGCTCGACTCACGCCCGCGGTACGCGTGTCTTATCCGTTTCTCAAAATCAAATTGCATCGCCACAGGATGTTTTTATTTCGCTGTCTTGGGTAGCGAGGAACTTCCTGTTCCTGTTGATCGAACGGAAGTCCCATGCCATAGACCCTGTGTTTCGTGCTCAAAAAAACTAGTCATATCGTGTGCAGTCCACGGGCCAAACAAACAATTGTACTTACAACCAGTGCATTATTTTCGTTTTCTTGATGATTTTTGCGGCGATCGCCCGACGGGCGTACAACTGGAATACTTCCCTCGCCGTAGCCTTCGCGATTTACGGCCACGGTAAAGTTTCGTGAAAATGGCGGCGCCTTGGCGCCATTCCTAGCACAATCCGGCTAAAGCTAATATTTCATGTACCGTCCGACGAACATATTCTGCGTGTCCATTGGCTATCGTATAGGGAAAAATCGATTGAGGATATATCTAATGTAAAAGATATATTATTGCATTGTTTATTTTATGCACGTGACTGAGTCAATTGTTCTCTGAATGTACTCTGATGTTCTCTGATGTACAGAATTTATTTTTCTGTTAAAATTCTTCTAAAAATAAATTTTGTTATTTGGAACACGTAAGAAGTTAAAATTCCCTATTAGAATATCCCTATTAAATCCCTCATAGAACCATACAAGAGAATGCAACAATAACATTTATTTTATATTTTATGAAGAAAAATACAATTAATATGAAAAATATATATATTTAAAAGATATATAAAAAATATGGGTATTATTAAAATTATGAAATTTGATTTATTTAAGATGTATGGAAGGACAGGTATCCAGTTAGTCTTTAAATATACCAGTTTATTTTCTGCGCATGCGCGTCGAGAATAATCTCCATAAGAGCCTTTGTGTAATGCCAGGCTACAGGTAATAAGAATAAGTATTAACCAATAGGAACAGGGAATAGAAATAATTGACCAATCCGAATTCCTATTCCCTGTTCCTATTGCCTGTTGCCTGGCATTCTGCAAAGGCCTTAAGATACCTGAATTTGATAAAAATAAAATGTTGTTTGTCCTCTGGTTGGTTGTCTTTAAATTATTTTTTAAAAGATAAAATGTATATTTAAAGGTATCATTTTTTCAATATTTTGATTAAATTTAAATTTAAAAGCTTCAATTAAAAACTTTAAGAAGAATCCCCTTATAGAAATATCATACTAAGAATCATTAATAATTACTTATTTTCAGTATTAAAAATACTGGATAATAAGTAATTATCAATGATTCTTAGTATGTTATTTCTATAAGGGTCTTCGTTTCTCTTTAATTACATTTGTGGACAAATACTCTTAAAGAGAAATTCTAGAGTTAAATCAATTAGATAATGAAATACATGTACAGTAACTAGATTGTTCACGATCGCGAGGAGAGGGTAAACGAGAATAAATCACATCGGAATAAAATATTCGGTGACAGCAGTGATCGCTTCTCGATCTTCTATTCTTCCACTTTTCTATCTCTCTCTTTTTCGTCCTTCTTTCTTTCTTATTCTCTCTACTTTCGTCCGACTGGCAATGTCCGACTTATCCTCACCTCGTCCCGCAGCTGACCCAGAATCGTGGAGATAACGGAGCAGCAAGGTGTAACAACAATGAATCTCTATGCGACACGAATGCGAGGTAGGATGCGGGGTAGGAGTAGGAGGGAGTAGAAGGAGGGAGGGACGATGCAACCCAGAAGAATGTCGCATGTAGATGAGCAGGTAGGTAAGGTATACATATGTACACATATATATATATATATATATATATATATATATATATGTGGCGGGCCAGATAGATATCGATTGTCCGCCACGGCTCGTTATACTAATTGATATTATCGTGACCAATCGTAGCATTATATGTTAATAGAATTATTTCGGGGACATTAGATTATTCGTATATTTGACCCCTAACAACGGAGGAGCACCTCCTGTGAAATAACAGAGATAGCGATTACCTCCTCTTTCCCGGGAAAGTACACGAAATAACAAATTAAATGTTTGTCTGACAATATGTCTGACAATAAATAATTCAATTTTTGCACTGGCGATTATTTTTTTTGCAACATAAATTTAATCAAAAACTATACAGTCGGGGCTAATTAAGCGTAATAACACTTTTCCTCGATGAATTTTGCAACATATGCCATATTTATAAATAAAGAATGTTGCTACTTTTAATCATTGTAGTGTCATAAATTTTCGGTCATTCGCTAAGCAAACAGTCGAAATATCTAGTCTTCCGGCTTTGGGAACAATTTAAATTCCTAGAAGACGGTATGATGAAATTCCTTTATTGTATAGGTCTTTATTTTTACTTGTTTTCTTTTTTTCATTTGTTCTTATTTTATGATAGAAATTAAGATTATGAGAGAAATTAATATCGCGATAACACTTTCTCTAATCGGTTATTAATTGTATTGACATATCGGTTTGCTCATCGAAACTGAAATATGAATCGTATGAAAAACCTCTGGTCGATAATTAACTGTTTCCACTGCGACGTCACATTTAAACGCGCGGCGATGTTTTCATATAGTTATTTACATATAAGCCGCGATCCGTTACACGCTCCCAACGTGAGTGTCATTCTATCTTTGTTGCTCATTGGATGTTGGACGAAGATAGAATACGCTCGCGGTCGTTGGGAGCGTACAACGGATCGCGGCGATAGTTCGGGCAGGCGTCACTACCGGCACAATCGGCGTCGCGCGGTTTTTTGTTCGAGTCGCGCGCGGTGGGGAGAAAGTCAGCCCGTGTTTACTTCACTTCGCAGTGTTTCGCGTTCGTCAGCGCGAGCTGTTGGGAAGATCGGTATTCTCAGTTCTCGAATTTTTCGCGTCGTGAGAGTATCTCGCTCTTACGAACGAGCGTCGGGAGTGACGTGCGATCACCGCGACGTGTTAATTAACGTTAATTAGTGTCGTCCTTCTCCGATATCGATGTGGCCTATGTGTATCGCGTGTCCCGAGCCGGCCGGCGGTATGGCGTTCGTCTTCGATCTATTGAGCAGTGCTCGGTTTACGCGTTATTTATCCGCAGAATCATCGTCGCTCGGGCGATCGAGCATCGACATTGTCGAGTGAGAACTTCCGTATTACTTGAGGTATGCCCCAGTGATCAGCTATTTCTCGGTGTATGTGCCCGAATTCGCGGTCGTCGTGTTTCGCGTCGCGAGGTGGCATTCCCGTAGCGTCGTGAAGTTGCCACCGGATAATTCGAATTTTTCGCATGTCGCCGTAGCAGCGCATCCAACGAGTGTCGGGAGTGTCGTGAGTAGAGTCGGCCGACCTTTCGTGTCCGCGTCGTCGTTTGCTCGTTGCGAGTGCGTCATAAACGCAACAAGACCGCCGATTATCGTACATCGTGTTAATTAGCGTCGCGGAATCGTGATCAGTTGGTGTCTTTCCTCCTGGACAGACTTGTATCTCGCGAGTGCCTCGAGTGCAAAAAGTGTGCCGCAGAGACGGAGCTGTCGGCGACGACGGTTATGGCGACACATCGACTGGTGAGTAAATTAGATCTCTGGGTTCGCGCAATTGATTGTCCGATAGTCTCGCGCCCGGTGACGAAATTCAATGGCACGCGTCGTCACGAATTAGTTAACTCTCTACTGCTCACTGAGACTCTGAAGTCACAATATAGTTTTATCATTATTTATCTTCAATATGAATGTGTTGTTCCTGTTTTGATCGATGTGACGTGAAAGTCATAATATGGCTGCCTTTTTTTAGTATGTTGGCAGTAATAAAAGTTAATATTTATCACCTATTTTAAGAAAATAGAAGATTAGAAAAATGAAATATTTCTTTATATGTATTAAATAATGTAATTTCAAATATGTAAATGAAACATTTTTTAAACGTGAGAAATTATGGGCAGTAAAGAGTAAAAAAACCAGAAAATAGTGGTTTATCGAAATGAGGCGTCGGCGAGAGTTGTAAAGTCAACGTTGGTACACGTTCCAATGACAATGAAGCATTTTCGGCGAATCACGCGAGCTATTAACATACGTGGCGTATGAAAAATTTTATGGCTCGAGTTCTCCGTATGAAAAGTCAATGTTTTGAATAATTTTTCCTCTCTTATCTTTCATACTCTCAACGCGATCAGATATTTATTTGGAGAATACATCGGAGAGACTTATGCCACACGCCGACTCAGATATTCGTAAACATCTCTAGTAACACGAAAATGAAAGTAAAAAATCGCGGCTTTCGATTTCGTACAAAATCTCGCCGGTGTCTCGCCTTATGCTGACGTTGTGTCTGTTTGCTCGATGCAATGCGTTGATATGCTTCAATCAAGCGGATACATTCGGAGGCCGGTATTTCCGTCTGATTATCGAAGCCTGGGCTCGCCCAGCGCGTTCTGCCAATCACTCGTGAGCGAGTCTCTCACACGTTCGAGGGGATTGTCCGAATGCCGGCGTGGTATCTAATCTAGTGGATCATTCGAATGTCTAATTGCGATTTCGGTCGCCTACATTAACCCACGCTGGCGCATGCTAAAAGCCACCATGCGAAAAGTTTAAAATTCAAGTATGAAATACATGAACACCGAAAGTAAAGTCATGAACACCATGTCGCCACAATATTTAGCATCTCGCAATATTTAGCAGAATACATTTGTCGAGTACATTTTGTCGGTAATAGTGTTTACGTTACGCTTACATTATGCTTTTGCACTTGCAGATAATTTCGTTTGTAGACGCATTTGCCTTTTCAGTTGCGATTTAAAATAATTGCGCAATTCCTCCTACAGCGAGAGTTTTCTGCTTGAATAAGCATTTCTCTTTTCTTTATCAGTATTTTATTTGAAGAATTTTGAAAAATAGAATACAAAATATGTATAATTTTCTTTTGTATTTACTATACAATGACAGAAAAAATCTAAGAAATAAAGAATATTTATTCGGTGGATACTAATAACATTTACTCGTACTAAAAATATTTTAAATAAGAAAAATAGTTTAAATAAGAAAATATACATTTTTTTAAATCTTAGCTTTTCATATTTTACGTAATAAGATTATTTAAATTTAAGTAATAATATATTTAATAATATATAAAAGAATTTAAATTTAAGTAAATATGTTATTAGTACTCATCAAAATAAATACTTTTTATTTTTTAGATATTTTTCTCTCAATATATGAGATAAAAAATATATTTCAAACAAAAAGTATTTAATATTTTAACACGAAACTTCTCCGAGTATACCACTTAGAGAGTGGTAAAGATTTAAGGTGCAGGCGGCTGAATACGTTGTAAGTAGCCAAGCTATCAAAATGATGAAAGATCCAGTATACACTTGTTCTTGTCACTCTGCGATGGCACTTCGCGACATAAGATTTTCATTCGTACTTCTCCTTTGTATTCATACGATTGGAATTGTGTTAAAGTTTTGGTGGCTCGTGAACTCGTAAACACGCAGGAATAATCTCTGGCAAAAAGCGACAGTAACGCGCAAGGAAATCATATTTGTTTTCCATATTAATAACGTTGAAAATTCAACTCGACGAAATTATGCTGGTTTCAATCTCTGTCCGAAATGCATCCGCGAAAATGACGCGGCTGTTCCGGGCCACCCAACCGTAAGAAGTTAATATAACGTGACAAGTTTCGTATAACATTTCGTCGCGCTAATTCAGAGATTTGCGATGATCAAAGTCGAAGCTGCAGAATTTCACAGGGGTGGTTTTGCAAGGCTCTTGAGTAGCTTCATTTTCAGCATATCTTATCGATGTACGAAAGCTGGGTCAGCAAGGCAATTGCATACACACACACACACACACACACACACACACACACACACACACACACACACACACACATATATATGCATATATATATTATATATATACATACACATATATCTATTATATATACGAGCACACTATCATGTGCGTGCACTGCCACATCGCGTTAACCATTCCTTATATCGTAATCTAAGGAGGTGGCTGGCCGCACGATCGCGGGTGAGCTTGCATGCTTTCGTTCGCTTCGCGCTAGTAGCGGGTCGAAGCTACGTGTTGTAGCTTCGTGAATTTCTCACGAGGGAAAATGCAAGGGCTCGATGGTGTCGCGGTTCTCGACGAGCGCTTTTCCCGCGACGAGGAGAAACAAGCAGCGCTTCATACATCCCTGTCGCCTTAAATTCTCGAACTTTCTCGGATTAAAACTTCTCTCTTTTTCTCTTTGTCTCTTTCTCCTTCTTTCTCTCTCTCTTCTCTCCCCCTTCTCGCGGTACTTCCGGTAAACCGTTCCATAAAAATGAAACTACCTAGAAGCTCGCATATGGCGCGAGCGATGGCAAAAGGCGGGAATCGATCGACTTCCGCGTAATGTTTTATTTAAGATGCGACCGTATCGAAGAATCAGCCAAAAACGACCCGACGATTTTTCACCTTCACCTGAAAAATTGCCAGGCGAAAGGAAGATGATTCTGTCAACTCGAGACGTGAAGTAATCATTTTGTTATCTTTATTGTATTTATATAAACAGTGTTTCTACTTAGTAAATACCGACGCATTTTTTTATTGTTCTTCGGGAGAGAGGAGGAGGGAGGTAGAGATTTCGGGGACCACGTGGTACGTAAAAAGCACGTTGATACTCGATTTTCGTAAGCTGAAAGTCTGAAGGAAGGGAAAACCACGTTAATTAAAAAAAACCTGAAATTATAATACAACATGCAACGCGTGTGAGTGCGTGTACATGCATGTTTTTAGTTTCCTCTTATCGATCGTGAATATTGTACGCGTGTGATCGATAGGTTGTGTGTGTGTTAGGCCTTCCGGAAGTATTACGAAAAGGGAAAACGCCTAGAATTACGACGCTTACATTGAAATTAAGCGCCGTAGTGCGACGGACTGTACGTGCATTTGCACACTGCAGCGAATCGCGTTTCTTAAGTGTAGTTTCCACAATACCTTTTTACTAGCACGCTAGTGCATTTGTGGTAAGCGAAAAAGGGTATTTCAAAATGCTGGCGAACTGGCTTGCCGTTTTCGTCGCCAGCTAGAGAGTACACCACTTAGATTAGGATGTTCAGCAGACTGCTAGTATCGTAGACGACGCCAGTAGGTAGATCTCAGATCGTCTTAAAGCTCGCGTCTCTTAAATTACACGGGTAAAATGGTACTCGGAAAATATTTCAATATATCTAGAAGTATACGAGCACAACTCGCGGATATGCGTACATCATAAATTATTAGGTATAAGGTTCAATCACACAAAGTTGCTTTTCTTTTCAACCTATTTTTTTATTTCTTTTCTTTTTACTTAATTTATACTAATAACTTCTTAAAAAATATTCTGCACATATTAATTAAGTCGCAACAAAGCAAAAGCACGATGTTTCATACGAAAGTGCACCGTAATACTGTCGTGCATGTTTTATTTAGAAAATATTCTCACGAGAGTGAAGTATGTTATCGCACTTTCCCTAGCTGCTACTTTCTCAGTACACTTTTAAACAAATGCATGGAGAGAATATTATAATCCATTTTCCATATAAGTAAAATTTCAAATTTTACTATATTTGTCTAGTAGTGCGGAAATAGACTATCGGTAAAGTCCGTCTTGCTAAGAAACGTAGAAAAACTTTTAACATTTCAGTCCCTAAAATGTAAACAGTACACGTACGAAATGAAAGGGTAGTCAGTTACTGCGGAATGTCGATCTACTTCTCGCAGTTACAAAGTTTTATAGTAATTTTTATCACACAATTCTCTCCGTGTATACGCTAGTAAAAATAAGAAAAGGAACATCGTATATAAACTACTTTTACGCATGGACGCGTGCATGCCATATTCGTTTCGTGCCGTATATAGATAGCCGTGTCGATTATTACAGCGTTTCATGCGGCGTTTCAGAAACGCGCCGCGGGATCCAGGAAGTGCTGCACGGGAAATGAGATTCTTGCGTGAACAATACTCGAGTACTCTGAGTGTTGCGTCACGAAGGAGCTCCGCGAAGAACCGAATTGGCATTCAGCGATTCGTGAAATTTGCGTTTCGTTATCGTAAAAAAATCGCCGCCGATAATGCGTCGCTTCGCTCGCTACGTCGTTATTCGCGCAATTTTCCGCATTTTTTAACGATGAATCTCGTGCTTTTTAATCTTGATGTTTGTGCTTACGGCGATCTTCGCGAATATCGTGTCGATATGAGTAGGAAAAATAAAATAAAGACAAATTATATTTTCCGTCGGAAATATAATATCCGCGTGCGACAAGCAGGATCACAATATTTTCTTTACGAGTGAGGAAAATCATTTTCAAGTAACGCCCGCGTGAAAATTATTCCCTTTTCGATTCCTTCCGGACCGCGGGCGACGATGAGCAAACGAAAATAATTTCAACGCACTTTTCCCGCGGCCAGTCGACGCTCGAGTTTCCCAATTGAGATTGTCTCCTTCTCCAAAACTCACGTACTCTAGTGATATGAATAATAATCAAACATGGGAATGAATTAGCAGCACGGGAGATCAATTAAGCAGTCGCGACCTCGATCAAGTCGCTGATAAATTAATAGCCGTCTACCCGATCAAGTAGAACGAATTAGAGTTGACGCGGTGTACACGTTTAAGGGCTTCAAGTCGGGAAAGTTATTTCTTCGTCTTAACGGCCCGCTTCTTCTTTTTCTCCTCTGGTCGATACGGCCCCAACTTCCGGCGCACCATAACGCCCCTCCACCAGGCTTGCATCCTGATTGCGCTACGGCGCACGTGATCCTCGTGCTCCTTTTGCCTTCTGAGCGCCTCCTGCTCCGCAAGGTATGTGTCGATGAATTCCTGGTTACTGCGGTACTGTAACACAATAACCGCTGTATCCTACTTCAGCGCGAGCTTACCGACATATATTATCGGCTCGTTGTCCCGCTCGAAATAAGTACAGCTTTCACACAGGATTCGTGAGCTTTGCACGCTGATCACATACCGTCGTAGACAAGGGAGAGATCGATAATAACCGATACACGACTAATGTACGATTAAAAGCTAGGCTATAGAAACCCGCTGAAAAATTTAGTCATGAGAGAGAGAAAGAGAGAGAGAGATGTTATCGAAAAGGAAACTATTGCGTGATGAATAGATCGTTGTTTGATTCAATGTATACTGACCTAATTTCACTTGAAATAATATTCGTTGATTTTTCGTTCGACGTTCCATTTGTCATTTTCGATAAAGAAAGTGGGAACGTAAAATGGGTACAAATTCGAAGAACAATGTGTGCGCGAACACGCGGTAGAAATCTTGTCAAGCTCTTAGCATTACTATTAATTTAACAATGTGTTGTTAATGAAGATTAACATACACACTACAAACTTAATCGTATTACTATGACTAAAACTTCTTTTACAGATTACTTACAGATTTCAGTCACGTCATTCAAAACGATTAAATTATAATCCACACGTTTGAAACGTGCTAAACGACATGACTTGAGATGGTAAAAAACGTGTAAAAGGAGCTTCAGCTTAATTACACGCTTATGCGTTTAAAGATAACACACTTGGATTAGCAGTTGAATATATCAAAGAATCAATGCACAGGCTTTCGATCGGTATGGTTCAGTCCCCGCTCAAATGTACACCCCATACGAAACGTAGGAGCGAATCTTGGGAGTTCTAGCATTCGAATATTCGGCTATCGATAATGATAGTCGAGACATTCCTGCGAATCTCGGCGGACACGTGCTCGACGCGAATTATCGATTCCCCGGCGAAACTTCGGCGTGCCCTTTAAACTCGCATAGGCAAGTTACTCGCGCCTGATTGCCAATAGGCTCACGGCGAAACGTGACGCGGTAAATCCACCAGTCACACAGAGAATGCGAAATAAGACCCCGTGATTGTGCTTGTTGCCGGCCGGGATCCTTCTCATCCGGCATTTAAGATTCACGCTGACGGCCGAAATAATGAGCGGCGGAATGCAAATTGAATTACTCACTCGGGTTTCCACCGCGCGTCGCGGGAGAATGAAATGAAAATATTTCTCGTAGCGTGGTCGCGGAAGTCGCGTTGAGCCGCGAGTCATTACCTCCGTTGTAAGGTCCTCCAGGTTCGCGCGAGCATCTTCTATCTCATTGCGGACTTTACGGATCTCCTTCTCGTACATTTTCTTCTCAAGATCATACCTGCATCGCCACTCCTCGATTCGATTCTCGATGAGCTGTAAATTCAAAGCAAATATTTTTGTTATCTCTATAAGGGCGTGTGTGTGTGTGTGTGTGTGTCTCGTCTTAAACTCCGTCGATAAAATTTACTCGGGACAAATTGACGCCTTTCACTCTCCCTTGCTCTCTTTCTCTCTATCTCTCTCTTTTTTTCTCAATGAAACACCAGATCTCGCTATTTGCATGTTCGCTAAGAAAAATCGTGAAACATTTGAATCACCGGGAACTCATTCCGCGACGCTTGAAATCTTTCCATCAAAGAATATACATGCATATATATATATAGGAGCAATGACATCGCCCGGCTTGATTTTAACGACTGTCCTTTCAAAGTTCTTTGCGTCTTCGAGCGCGAGCTGTCTGGAACTTTTATTCCGCACTAAGAGGAAAGAAGTTGGCGCTCACCGCTATACGCTGCGTCAAGTAGCGCATCAATTCGCTATTCACGCGATTCTCGTTCCTCTCGCGCACGTTACAATCGTTGAGAGCCTTGGCCAGCTTGTCCATCTCCAACTCGTAGCGCAGTACATTCTGCTCGCGACGTGCCTCTTCCCACGTTCGGACGTATCTCATCTCCGCGTCCTTAATTAGTTTCAGCCTCTCCTTCTCGTCCTAACGTTTTGCCAACAAGTTTCGTTCAACATGACCACACTTACATCGTGACTGAGTAATAGTTAAACGGTAAAACTTGATGATTCATCGTCGTTATGCGCTCGCTCGCTCGCCCGGTATTCGTAATTTATTGCATCTCATGCGCGATTGTCGGTCTTACGATATTTATATACCCGCGTCAAAGTGAGCTTCCTCGTTAAGTGTTCCTCCGCCTCTTCGTTCGACGTTTTCTTATCGGCGATTGCCTTTCGTAACTCGTCCACGATCGCCTGCACCTTATCGTGTTCCTCCAATAAAAGACGCTCCTGCTTCTCCTGCGACGTGATCCTCTCGATCTCCTCGATTAATACCTCGATAGTACCGCGCTCGCTAATTTCCCGCTTCAAGTCCCGTATTATATTGCCCACGTACAAACTGCAACTGTACGTCCTTTAGTATCAGCGCGAACGGATTACCCGTTGTCGAGTTTACACGCCATCGTATCGAGCAGCGACGGATCGTGGCGGCTTGCGGCATAATCTTGTAATCTATAATAATTCGATATATATATCTATATATATACACACACATTCCATAACGTCGTTAGAATATGAGACGTTATTAGAATTGAATTAGATCAATGAGAATAGTGAATTCACATTTCTATACCGTTTGAAGATTTGAATGATCAGAAGAATTGTGAAGTTAACACGACTAATAACATTTTAAATGAGACAAGTGAAAAATAGGAATATGCAATAGAATGAAAAGCGTTATCGCTACATGTGGCATACTCTGAGAGAAAAAATATCCAAGAAATAAAAACTATATTGAATGGGTATATAACACATATTTGCTTATACTAATACAAAATACTTTGTGAATAAGAAAATATAAATTTTAAAACACCTTAGCTCCCCTAACTGTTTATTAGTACCTACCAGATACCTGCAAGTATTGTTTATTTTTTAGATGTTTTTTCTATCAATGCGCTAACGCTTGCTTGAACGACATAGTCAAAATGATGGAACTCGAGAGAGGATTTATTTATCATTCACGTTCTCGTTCCATTTAAAATTTAATTATCCCGGATATCGATTTGTTCGTTTATGTAACGCATCTAGGCCTCTTCCGGAGTCTCGTTGCGTCTATCCGCGTGAATCCGTCGCTGCGTAGATCGGCCTTACGCTTTCAGGCGTAAACAACCTGTCTTGCCGAAGCTTTTCACGCGCAGCTACCCTCCGTGAATTCGTCGTCCCCGCGGCGTCGTCTTCGCCGAGTGACTGTAGAATTGACGTTCCCGAAATCCTGCGGTGTACACAGAGAACGTCATAACCTCATTTTATTACGTTATTCGTTCGACATACCCAATTTCGGGAAAAGCGTTAGCGACGGTTGCCAGTTGTCTCAGGGTGTTTTGGTAAACGGCCAATGAGTCCGCGCATTCGTCCAGGACTTCCAGGAGGGCCTCACGTTCCGCAGGCGAGAATCCCGCAGAACCGTCAGCTTCTATCGTTGCCATCGTATCTTCGCGGATCGGCGGAACGGTTTATCGTGAATTTCGTGAGTCATCGCTTTTCCACGATAAGTTTACTTGCGCGAGCGCAAGCGCACTCGGATTCGAGATACAGCGCGCGAGAGTGCCGTGCGAAATCGTGGAAATTATTTACAGCGGGAATTAGCAGGAATATTCCGTGATGCAGTGTCCTTTCGCGTGTCGGCTAGGCGTTTTCACGTAGTCTTGGCGCGTGTGTACACGTACGTACATTTTATTTCCAACATCGGGGAATTCAATGTGGAACGTAGCCGACCGGCAGATAGATCATGTCAGTCTGCATCCGTATGATGAACCAATTTATCACGCGTCCGTGCGTAGACTCTGCCCGATCTCACCGTCCACCCGTTGCTTTCGTAAATCCCGAGCAACGTCAACGGAATACTAATCGTCCTTTTGGAAAAACGCAATGAATGCACCAACGAATGATCGACTAAGAGGACGCGCGATTCAAGTTGCGGACATTAAATATAATTTTAATTTTAATATCATGCAAATTGACAAGATGGAATATAATATAGAAATATGAAATAGAAAGGAAGAAAGAAGATAATGAGATGTAACGTTTCCACGTGAATGAGTAACTATTAATTTTAGCAAATACCCACGTATTATTTTACAAAATATTAATCAAAATATATATATCTCCATTTTGTCTCTCTTTCTCTCTCTCCGTGAAACATACGTATTTTACCTTGACTGTACAATAATTGTTAATTTTCAATATCACGTTCTCATTTTCAGAATAATGGAATTATATTATTTTGTATAAAATAACGCAAAAACATATATCCAATGGTCATTCGTTGTTGCACGTAATAAACGCCGAAAGTAGATCCCACTGTACACGTGCGGAAAGTCAGTCGTTCGTTAGTAGTAACGAATAAGCGGATATCTTTTCGCGAAATTTTTTTTTTTTAATTAGTTCACGGACACGCAGACGTTACATCAATCTCTGTACACACTGCCTCGCGATGAACAGAAAAACAAAAAAAAAAAGAGAGAAACAAGCAAATTCGGTGACTCGGCAAACCTCTTAGAGCGAGCTTAAACAGTTTGATCCATTACCGCGTGCTGCCGTGGAAACGAACTCGGCAACCTGGACATTAAAGCGGCAGTTGGCGTAAAAAAGAAGGAGAGGCAGGCGGGGCTTCGTGTAAAGAGCTGCTGGGCCACCGCAAATGAAGGGGAAGCATTCGCCCAAAAGGATCTCTTTTCGTAATGTCAAAAGCGCGAATACGATTTCTGAGTGGCGCGTGACGTTTTTTAATCTAACTTTGGTCGTGAGTCGCCGCGAGAAGCCGCGTGCGCAATTTCGTTAGCATTGAAAAAGGAGAATTGCGCGGAGAAAGCCGGAGTTTCGTTTTAATGCACTCGCGTCGTTCGCCGATCGGATACACTCGCTGAGCGCGATTCTGCTTTTCGTTCGGAAAACTTCGAAGACAGTCTCGCGGGAAAGTTCCTATCCTTTGAGAGTGTAGACATTTAGCACGGGCGTAGAGACGAAGCCAAGTACATCTTGGCTTACACGAAGCCGAGGAAATGTACCGTGTAGTTTCATTGCAACGCCATGGGACGCCTCTCGTGTTATCGATTATAAGTGTTGTGAAATCTTTTATGCTCGCGTTTTGTCTCACTCGCGCAGCAAAAGGTCATATCATGTCTTTCTCTCGTTATTAACCAACTTGCCAACTTTATAATCGCGTGTAACTGCAATTCGATTGTAACTCGACAATAAAACACATACACGTGTGTAGTCAATTGCCAATCGGTTTGCACACTTTTTATCGAATGAAGTTGTCATGTTTCAAGTCGTCGGAATTGGAAGCCACGTGTGTACGCGTAATCGATTACGACAGCAGCCGATGTAGCCGTACAAGGTGTGATATTTGTAGAATGTGAGAGAGAGAATTAATTTCAAATTAAGAGAAAATTATATGTATTTCGAGGGATAATTTTTATATATATTCATTTCCTATTACTATGCAGACATATCAGAAGTGACCTTCAGCTCTGGCAGCTTGAAAATTTTTCCCCGATAAAGTGTGTGTGAAAACCGACTTGCAATCGACTATACATACGTTGTCCGCAGGATAATGTGGCGCGTTGAAGAAGAAGGCGCGTAAATCGCTGAGTATACGCAATAATGCGCTTTGCAAAGATAGGATTGCGGATAAACGCGATCGAGCACGACGCATTCTCCGTTAAAATCTTACGCGCGCGCGCGCGAACATCTTCACGAATGATATTTACATAAGGAAAAGAAAATCGCGGAAACTCGATAAACATCGTTCTACTTGATCTGTCCAAGGACGGGGGGGAGGAAAAGTGAGCGGTGGAGAGCTCTCGTGCGATTCTTTCCTTCATCAATTATTCCGCTCTCATGGACGAAGCGACTAAAAATCGAAAACAGTTAAATTGATACCGACATAATTACTATCCGATCGCGTTAAGGTCCCGGTCACGGCGCTCGTATGGAAGGGGAAAAAATCCCGCGGGGAAAAAACCGAAGGCAAAAAAAGGCGCGCCAGCACGTACCAGTTTGATTGGAAAAGTTTCTCACGTCGGAAGAGGACTTTAATCGAATCTGCATTGCCTGTAAAGGTCCTTCGCGATCCCTCAGGCTCGCTCTCTCTTGTTTAACGCAAAGAACACCGGATCGTGAATACGCGAAAACAAGGTGATGATGTCACAATGAAGCCTGTCGAATTTCGTAGAGTTTATCGGGCCACCTGTGTGGTGTGGCTGCGTGTATATCGGCGTAGGCATGAGCAGTTCCCTGTAGTGATTTTCAAGACCTGTGTCGATTAATCATGAGGTGACACATGTCGACGAAACACATTGAGGCAAAACACATGTCAACGAAACTTCCCAATAAGAACGAACTTGGCGAGATGCAAAGATTAGATGAAGAAAATGTCAAGTGCGTGAAATATGATCCGCGAAATGTGTGAATAATGTCGCGCAAAAATGAGTTAATCCATCAAGTCAGCAGTTTTGAGTCAATTAAAAGTAAAGTGTATGTAAACGCTCTCGACGTAGTAGCTTCGGATCTAGATCTCTCCTGATTCTAGACGTCAAAGATATGAACTGAGAAATCGAATACTACACAGATATGAATTTGTAACTCATGAAACTAAAGATTATAATTTAAACAATTTTTTTAATGAAACTAAATAATTTTTCAATAGGTGTGAAATTTCTTTGCATTCTCTATTAAATATTTGATAGAATCATTCTATTTCACACATTTACAAAAACAAAAGATCTATCACAAAAAACAAAATAATATTAACATACCGAGAATTGAGAGAATAGGACACAATGAGATAGGAATTCGAGTATTCTTTAACAACCCCCCTCCACCTCCAACTTCCATAATCCCATGAAATCGATTTTGGCGGATCGATTCTTTCCAATTTGCCTATAGAAAGGATTAGTATCAGTCGTTATATTTTTACGGGAGATGTTAACATAAAAACGTGACCCTTTTAAAATGTGCATACCCTGGTAACCGAAGGCTGGAATAAAACTTCCGATGAGTTGTGTCGCTACGCGTCCCCTGCAAACTAACAGCAACCGCGCAAGAGTGCACAGCTACAACAATAAACAAAAATTCGGAAAAGTTGAAAAAATATATCGACTCACTCCACTGTTATTTCGCCCAACGGCTCCGACACGGTAATCCCATTCAAGACGAGGGTAAGGACGCACCCTGTCGGCTGTTATCACAGTCCGTAGTGGACCTAACCCGCACGAAGGCAGAGAGAGAGAGAGAGAGAGAGAGAGAGAGAGAGAGAAAGAGAGAGAGAGAGAGAGAGAGAGAGAGAAAGTATACACGCGCGACGGCGTCGTCGGAGACCCCCGACGTTGCGTCGCATCGCATCGCGTCAGGGGTGCGCTTGCGTATTCTCGAGGCGGCGTCGCGACGGCGCGTTCCTGCCGCGCCCGATGTGTGGCGAGGCGCGAGGGCGGTGTCGGTGGTGGTAGCAGCGAGAGAGCCGTTCTCTACTCTCGTGCGCTCCTCGCCGTCGTCGCCGTCGTCGACGCGCGTCGCGGCGCTCGAGAGCGTTCCCTCTCGGAACACCTATCTGATCGTTCGCGGCGCTCCTCCGCTACACCACTCCGGTACACCATTCCGTTCCGGTGTACACTCCTCCGGTACGTCCGTATCGGATCTCGAAGCACCGACGAAATCGACGAGAGTAAGAGAGACAGAGAAAGATAGAGAGAGAGAGAGAGAGAGAGAGAGAGAGAGAGAGAGAGAGAGAGAGAAGAAGGCAGAGAAAGAGAGAGAGAAAGAGCGCGCGCGCGCGCGTCTCGTTAACGACACGTCGCGCCCGCTGTTCACGCGTGCACGTCGCGACGCCTCGCGACTGCTCCACGGAGACGTCCTCAGGGTAGCTCGCGGTGGAGCGCGTAAGGTTATAACCCTGCCCCGTTGTTGTCATCGTCGTTGTCGTCGTCGTCGCCGTGGGTGGTGGTGGTACTAGTGCCGGTGCTGGTGATTGCCGTCGTCGTCGCGGTCGCGTCCAGAATTGTTGTTGTTATCGGACGCAGCTTGCACAGGGGGTGAGTATCGGACATAACCCTTTCGCCACTGACTCGTCCAATTGATCCTGGCTCGTTCGCGCGTTCTTCCGAAGACGCGGGGGCGAATCGAAACGACGCGTGGAGAGTGCGCGTATATTACGGAGCGAGGGCGCAGCGCTTTAAGGGGTTAACTGGCCACTCTCTGTGTTCGTGTCCTAGCGAGGGTTGTCACGAGTAACCTACTTGGCAGTTTTCGCAGCCCCTTGTGTTTACGTCGCGCCTCTCTCCCTCTCTTGCTTTTCGCCCTCGTTCTGTTTCTGTCTCTCTGCCTCTCTCTCTTTCTCTTCGTCTCGCTCTTTCTTTTACTCGGTTGAGGGTGGTAAACACGCGCTCTGCAGAAACGTCGATCGGTCTCACGGACGGCACAGAGAGGATCTCGCTTGCGAAATAACCTCGGCAAGTCGCGTCGTTTTGGTCGAGTTCTCTCCACTTGGTTGTCGCACCCGTACAATGAGAATTACCGGCGGAAATTGATATCTGTATATAGGAAGTCTCGACGAATTCACAAACTTTTCAATGCCGCGGAACGCACAAAAGTGATCTTCTTGTTTACTCACGACAATCGAAATGACAGTCGGAATAGAGCCAAATAGAGGATAATTACGATTCGGAAGTAAATCCCGCATCGTTATACTTCCCAGTGATGTAACGTAATCGGCGTTTCCTAACGATCTCGCGTCATCCCGTAAACAAGTCTCATTGTGGTTGTTAATGGTTTTATGAGATGGGTACTGCGCTCGTCACACATCGGCAAAAATTACTTTGATGACTTAATGCTGCGCTTTTATGCAAACACGAGTTAACCTGGATGAGGTTTGTTTGAAGATGAGTTGTACGTGCAGGTGAATCGGCAAAAGAAAGAAAAAATACGATAATTTATTTACGACCACTACCGTTAAATTGATTCATTTTCGCAGTACCCAATGCCATCCAATTGTTTCGACTAATCTCATATTCTTCGGTATCGTAATACTGAAAATTGTGTAAACTCATTGAATTCACATTGATTCCATTTCTGTGATTATCAATTCTATTAATCACTGATAATCCAGATATAGCAATAAATTCGCTCGATGTCGATTTATGCAAACCACTGTGAAAAAGCGATTTACAGTGATATATTTATATTTACATTTTTATCGGTCAGTTTAGCGGTCAATATCGCGCTGCGTATATTAGTCTAAGCGATAATACAATCAACCGCAGTTCGACACACTCTCTTTCCCCCATCATCTTTTTCCCCTCACAATCTGTTAAGCGCATACAGAAAAATATCATTCTACTGCTAAGACAAGCGATTACTCGGTTTTCTTCTTTTCAATGCTTATGTCTTTAACAAAAAATATTTTCTTGATAATAATCTTAAAATATACTCATCAGACATTTTATAAAAAGCTTATATTGTTATGTGCTCAAAAGAAGAATTTATTTTCTTTACTAGAATATTATAAAACTTTATTGAAGAAAAAATTGACTCTATGTAGCAGACAAGCTGTATGTTTGCACAAATTTAATATTCTTGTTTGAAATGCTAAACTTGCTAAGATCCAAAATGTACTTTGAGTAAATTAGTGCTCATGAATTTGTGATAGAGTTGCGGATATATAAATTATGAAATACTTAAAACAAGTGACATTTGAATGTAGTAGGTATTTTTTCTGTGTGCACACGAATATATATTTGAAAGCTGTAGCGAGTAATTGCATTATTCTCCCCCTAATTTTTTCACGCCTCTGTAGCTATTTGTCAATTAAAATGTCAACATGTCGGTATTCCGAAGGATCTTTGGCTTCCAAACGTGAAACATATTCTACCCTAATCCGATCTGTCCCAGTTTCCTCAAGAGCGGCTTATCAGTCAGGACTCGATTAACGAATCACCATTTTAATCGAATTTTCTTGTGGGAAACGCGTCGTAAGAGCACTCGACTTCCTCGTTTTGTTTGTCGCACGAGCGCCTGGATCGTTTTTTTTCCGCCGCGCTTCCAATTAACGTTCCCGCACGCGACTGAGTGCCCGGTTTACATATGCGCCTGCAACGGGCATTTCTGATATTAAGCCGCTCCTTTCATGCTCGATACCAGCGAAGAGAGTCGCAAACAGACTGCCTTCTTTTCTCGTACACGCCGGATCTGCAGAAATAACGGGCTTGCACGTTTTCGCGCTCATTTCCTCGGCAACATGGATGTTCTTTGAAATTTATGCGCGTCGCCGCTCACTCGCGTTTAAAAACTTGGGGATGGCGGTCGTGTAACGTTAAAAAGGGACAAGCACAGGGTGTATCTTCCGGGAACCTTGATTTTAATTTCTACAGGGAATTTTGAAACTAGCACGAAAAGTCATACTTTTTCCTAATTAAATTACTTAAGAAATATATTTAACGTCAAAGAAATATCGCGCAATATAACTAACGATCTCCGTCAAGATTTCTTCTGAGAAATTTTTAGGTGTATCTTTCTCTTTTAACGAAGATACATTTGCATAGCAAATTTGTTAAAAAATTTATAGAGGAAGAAATGCGCGCGCGACACATTTTGCACGCTGTTTAGAGATAAATGTGTTCTACTCTTTTGTAGAAGCGTAATGTTTCGCGCTACGCCGTAACGGATGTCGCGTCTAAGGGAAACAGTCAGCAGGGCCGTGTAAATCCGGAACAACTTAATGGTAGGCTAATTTATCGCGTTAAGTTAGCTTAACAACGTGACAGAGACAATTCGCCGCGATCGTCGTCGCGGGAATTCGGAATTACGATTTGCAGCACGTGAGCGACGAACCAATCACACGCGGCTATTATTTACTGGGCAGTAAAGCTCGCGCGCGCGGCTAAGGAGTTTACGCGCTGAAGGCGGATTTCATCGCTTTCACATGAAATCCAGCTTAATTCTCGTAAAATTTTAACGGTTACTCGCGCGCGCATAGACGTGTATATGGTGTGTGTATGCGCACATACATAAGTGTATGTATCATGATTGAATCTTCTATAAAATTTAGTTGAACGTGTATATATCTCCATAAATCATGAATATTTACAGTGGTATATTTACATATTTAGGCAGTGTGTTCTGGAGGGCAGTATGTTTGAAAGGTCGCAAAAAAATACATTTCCGGAATTTTTTGTAAAGTAACGAATAAACCGAATAACGGGAAACTTTGCATATTCTTTAAGACTTATTTATATAAACCTTTAAGATTTATTTATATAAATTATAAGAATATAAAAATATATTCTTGTCTAAGTGATAAAAATACCCTTTTTTTGTACGTTATTTCTTGGTCGCTATGAGCTCGTAAAAAAAAAACTTATACGGTCGGTACGAATAATTCTGGCTCTCCTAAGTATCTGAACCAACAATTTTCTCATTTAGAAAAAATATCGCTATCGTCTGAATTAGAATTAAACCAATATTATTATTCTAGACAAGATAGCGTGCGGCCTTTTTATTAAAAAATTTTAGTTTTCTCTCAAAATATTGTTAGTGTTTCATTAAAAAAAAAAAAAAGAACTAATAAATGTATAATGCTTGTTCTAGTTTAGACGATATATACACTTCTTCTGAACAAGAAAATATTTTTCCGTTTTAGATATCAAATCCAGTAGTAAGAAGTAGGAAGTAAGAGTAAGAAATTGATCAATCATAGTTGATTATTCTTCTCATATTCGACTGTGATTGGTCAATTTCTTATTCTTACTTCCTATTTCTTATTACTTACTATCATTGTAGAATGGGTTTAATGCGTAGTCTACAATGGCAGTAGGAGTAGTAGTAAGAAATAAGCAGTAAGCAAATTGACCAATTCCATTCTTACGTTTCAAAAATAATCAATTGTGATTGGTCTATTTACTTACTGTTTATTTCTTACTACTACTCCTACTGCCATTGTAGAAGACGCTTAAGAGAGTTATAATCATTTACACTTAATGACCAGGATATAACATACAAAAGAAAGATGCTTTTGTTACTTAAACAATAAAAATATATTGTTAAAATAAGGTTAAAAGAATTATTTTCCTATAAAGAATTCCGGAAAAAATACCTTTTTTGCGATTTTTCAAACTAGAATATCCTTTTAAACGCACATATGCCCGCACGCGCAATTCTACACATTAATCAATGGATCACGGTTAAACAATATATGGGAAATCCGTGAAAATTTTTCACTACTTTTCTCTCTCTCTCTCT